AAAAAAAAAAAAAAAAAAGAAAGTGCCAGAAAGGTAAGCATATGCAAGAACCACTTACCTTTGTTTGGGGCTGCACTGTGGCCCCATTGGGTGGGAGAGGCTTCTGTGAAGGCCGTTGACAGCTGCAGGCAGCGACATTCTCAGAAGCCCCTAGCAGACAGCTCATCTGGGCTCAGGGACACACCTGAGAGCCGGTGGCAGGAATGTAGAGACACTGCTTGGTGGTGGCCGAGCAGCCCAGCGTCGTAGCTGCTGCCTGTCACTTCGGAGAATGTGAGAAACTGTGCCTGCCGGGGCTTGGATTCCCGAGCAGGGCCAAGTGATGAATGAAGAGAGCCTGCTCTGTACCACCCTGCACAGGGCCCTCACAGGTTGATCCTTACAGTAAGCCTTCGAGCAGGTGTGCCGTTCCTCCCATTTCCACAGAAGCCCAGAAACATTGAGTCCCTTCCCGAGTGTTAGTCAGCAGAACCAGGACTCAGGTGAGGCAGTTTGTCTCAAGCCACGTGGTTTCCGCCTTGTTCTACCCTCCTCGTGATGAGTGGCTCAGCATTGCACGTTCACGGGGGCTTTGTAAGCACATTGGTTTCCTTCTTTGTTGTGACTGCCCACCGCCTCGCGACTGGATTTGACTCAGTATTCTGTGCACTGCTGAGTATTTCACATACTCATTTCATCGAGTTTCACAGCGTCCACCCCTAGTGGGTGTTGTTTATACGATCTCCATGTCATAGTTGAGTAAACTGAGTCTCAGCGTGGTTGCCTGAGTTTACCCAGTGAGGCCTGGGACCTGAGCCTACACTCAATCACTCTAATTCCTGCTGAATTAAACTTTTATTTACGTATTTATTTATTCATTATTTTTTTTTTCTGAGATGGAGTCTTGCTTTCTCGCCCCTGCTAGAGTGCAGTGTCATGATCTTGGCCCACTGCAACCTCTGCCTCCTGGGTTCAAGTGATTCTCCTATGTCAGCCTCCTGAGTAACTGGGATTACAGGCGTGCACCATCGCTCCTGGCTAATTTTGTATTTTTAATAGAGATGGGGGTTTCACCATGCTCGCCAGGCTGGTCTTGAACTCCTGACCTCAGGTGATCTGCCCACCTCAGCCTCCCAAAGTGCTGGGATTACAGGCATGAGCCACCGCGCCTGGCCTGAATTAAACTTAAGTGTTTACTTCAGTGGAAAAATGGGTTGGGATCTAAGAGATGTCCAAAAATACAGGAGTAGGCAGTTGGAGATGGAAATCTGTTCCTGCCCTTACTCTTTCATTTATGAAAGGGCATCCCAGGTACAGTGTCCCCCACAGTCACTTTCTAGCCCAGCAGTTCTCGGATGGGTTGGTTGCAGGACCGCTTTATACTATTAAAAATTATTGAGGATTTTAAAGAGTTTGAGTTTGCATGGATTATCTCTGTGTGTATTTATCATATTAGAAATTAAAACAGATGTTGAAAACACGAGAACCCACAAGCCACACATTCCATTAGTTGTGAGTGTGATGACGTCAGGGCACGTTGCCTCTGGAGAAGTCCACTGTGCGCTTGTGAACAAATGAGGTGGAAAAGGCACATCACATCTTACTATTGTCATGAAAATAGCTGCAGCCTTGGGAACCTCCTGAGAGAGGTGTCCTGGTACCCTACACTGAAAACATTGCTCTGGCTCATTAACTGGTTTTTATCATTACTGGAAAGTTCTCATTTCATTTATTTGTTTCCTTTATAGGAGTAGAGTGGGCTAATAGGATCTACGTTCACTTGATGCTTTAGAACCCAGCATTTCAGGGGCTTTAGCAAGATGGAAATTTCTGTCTCATGTCAAGTATCCAGGAGTGACCAGTGCAGAGATAGTCTGGTAGCTCCAAGGCATCAGGGCACCCATGCCCCTTCTGTCTCATTGTGCCGTTCCAGTGCATTGCTTTTCTCCAAAATGGGGCAGTTGGCCAAATGCTGTCCACCTAGCAAAAGGGAGGGCACACCACTTCTCCTCTAGGGTCCAGCCAGGGTGTGGCACTTACCGCTTCTGTTCCTGTATCATTGGCCAGAATTTAGTTCCAGAGCTGTGCCTGGCTGCAGGGGAGGCTTGGAAAGGTAGTCTGTATTCTCAGTGGCCCAGATGAAAGTTGGGGGTTCTATTGGGAGAAAGGGAGAATGGCAACAGGGATGCTGGTAGCAGTGCCTGCTTTGCTTCCTCACTAGGCCGTACTGGCTGGGAATAGCTGCCCCTCACTGTGTGCCCTGGGCCTAGAACAGTAGGTTCTTGATACATCCTTGTGGGACTAAGTCCCTGCAAGTTGCTGGGACTCAACAAATGGAGACCTAGTTGCTTTTCAACCACCAAGACTCCCTGATAGCTGCATCTTTTCATTCCCTCGGTTTGGAGGAACGTTCAGAGGCTGAGGAATGCCTTGTCATTGGAATCTCTTTATCCCTGAGTTTCAGAAGCAAATAGAGTGAGAGTTTGGGCAGAAGAGGATTCATGGGAAAATATATCCAAATCACTTTGGTTCCTTCCTTTGGATAGAAAGAATTTGGATCATGACGGCCCCTGGGTGTCCTCGGGTGGCCACTTTGGAAGGCTGGGTGGGTGGTGGCTGTGACACTGTGGAAGATGGATGATGGACAAGCGTGTGGCCTTGGTGAGGAGTGACGGGGCTCTCGGTGTTTGCAGAGGAAGCTGCCTGAACAGGACATCGCACAAGGATCCTACATTGCCCTGCCACTGACACTGCTGGTTCTGCTGGCCGGTTACAACCACGACAAGGTAGTGAGTAACTGGGATTACAGGCGTGCACTATCGCTCCTGGCTAATTTTGTATTTTTAATAGAGATGGGGGTTTCACCATGCTCGCCAGGCTGGTCTTGAACTCCTGACCTCAGGTGATCTGCCCACCTCAGCCTCCCAAAGTGCTGGGATTACAGGCATGAGCCACCGCGCCTGGCCTGAATTAAACTTAAGTGTTTACTTCAGTGGAAAAATGGGTTGGGATCTAAGAGATGTCCAAAAATACAGGAGTAGGCAGTTGGAGATGGAAATCTGTTCCTGCCCTTACTCTTTCATTTATGAAAGGGCATCCCAGGTACAGTGTCCCCCACAGTCACTTTCTAGCCCAGCAGTTCTCGGATGGGTTGGTTGCAGGACCGCTTTATACTATTAAAAATTATTGAGGATTTTAAAGAGTTTGAGTTTGCATGGATTATCTCTGTGTGTATTTATCATATTAGAAATTAAAACAGATGTTGAAAACACGAGAACCCACAAGCCACACATTCCATTAGTTGTGAGTGTGATGACGTCAGGGCACGTTGCCTCTGGAGAAGTCCACTGTGCGCTTGTGAACAAATGAGGTGGAAAAGGCACATCACATCTTACTATTGTCATGAAAATAGCTGCAGCCTTGGGAACCTCCTGAGAGAGGTGTCCTGGTACCCTACACTGAAAACATTGCTCTGGCTCATTAACTGGTTTTTATCATTACTGGAAAGTTCTCATTTCATTTATTTGTTTCCTTTATAGGAGTAGAGTGGGCTAATAGGATCTACGTTCACTTGATGCTTTAGAACCCAGCATTTCAGGGGCTTTAGCAAGATGGAAATTTCTGTCTCATGTCAAGTATCCAGGAGTGACCAGTGCAGAGATAGTCTGGTAGCTCCAAGGCATCAGGGCACCCATGCCCCTTCTGTCTCATTGTGCCGTTCCAGTGCATTGCTTTTCTCCAAAATGGGGCAGTTGGCCAAATGCTGTCCACCTAGCAAAAGGGAGGGCACACCACTTCTCCTCTAGGGTCCAGCCAGGGTGTGGCACTTACCGCTTCTGTTCCTGTATCATTGGCCAGAATTTAGTTCCAGAGCTGTGCCTGGCTGCAGGGGAGGCTTGGAAAGGTAGTCTGTATTCTCAGTGGCCCAGATGAAAGTTGGGGGTTCTATTGGGAGAAAGGGAGAATGGCAACAGGGATGCTGGTAGCAGTGCCTGCTTTGCTTCCTCACTAGGCCGTACTGGCTGGGAATAGCTGCCCCTCACTGTGTGCCCTGGGCCTAGAACAGTAGGTTCTTGATACATCCTTGTGGGACTAAGTCCCTGCAAGTTGCTGGGACTCAACAAATGGAGACCCAGTTGCTTTTCAACCACCAAGACTCCCTGATAGCTGCATCTTTTCATTCCCTCGGTTTGGAGGAACGTTCAGAGGCTGAGGAATGCCTTGTCATTGGAATCTCTTTATCCCTGAGTTTCAGAAGCAAATAGAGTGAGAGTTTGGGCAGAAGAGGATTCATGGGAAAATATATCCAAATCACTTTGGTTCCTTCCTTTGGATAGAAAGAATTTGGATCATGACGGCCCCTGGGTGTCCTCGGGTGGCCACTTTGGAAGGCTGGGTGGGTGGTGGCTGTGACACTGTGGAAGATGGATGATGGACAAGCGTGTGGCCTTGGTGAGGAGTGACGGGGCTCTCGGTGTTTGCAGAGGAAGCTGCCTGAACAGGACATCGCACAAGGATCCTACATTGCCCTGCCACTGACGCTGCTGGTTCTGCTGGCCGGTTACAACCACGACAAGGTAGGAAATCCAGAGGCCTCAGGAGACGGTGGGCGTGTCAGGGAGAGCGAGTCCTCACAGCTGCAGGAGTGATAGCAGGGGGGTATCCAGGGTCACAGAAAACACATTTCAGGGTCGGGAGGGCCCCTGAAGGCCTCAAGTCCACTCTTAGGTCTCCTTTCAAGGTTGTAAACTTCTGTAACATCTCCTAATCCTTAAACCTGGAACACCTCTAGGGACATGTTGGTCCCAGAGAGAGGCCAGCCCATCCCTAGTACAGAGGCCTGCCTCGTTTGAACTGAAACCCACCCATTAGCACATGGCAGCTGCTGACCATGTCTGAAGAAGGTGTGTTGAGAAGTGAGGCTCCGCTGTTCGTCTGGCAGAAGCCTTCTCTTTGTACCCCTCTCTCTCACACGTTCTCTCTTTTCCAGCTCATTCCTTTGCTGCTGCAGTTAACAAGCCGGCTGCAGGGAGTCCGTGCGCTCGGTCAGGCAGCCTCTGACAATAGTGGCCCAGAAGATGCAAAGAGACAAGCCAAGAAACAGAAGACAAGGCGGACGTGAGGAGGAAGGGGGCAGTTATAGTCTCACTTGGGACAGGCCACAGCCAGGGGTCCGGCTGCCACCTGCCCATGGGATAAAAGCCAAAAGCATGCGTCAGCTAACTTCAGCCTGTGCTGCTGGCCCCGTGCCCCGTGTCCCGCATCACTGTGGCATCCTGCACCCATCCTCACCCCTCCATATGGCCCCTCGTGCAATGCAATGAATGGACCCTCCTGTCACTCTGCTGAACAGAATTTATTTTCTGAGTCAAATATAATTTATTATTTTTGTCAAAGAAGTATTTAAGCTGTGCTGTGGTGTGAGAAGGTCATTCTTGATCTTCAGCCTTCGTTTGCAAGAAGAGTTCCAGTTAACATGGCGTTTGGATCCATGGTGAGGTACCCTAGGAATTTATCTGTTTTCTTCACTTTCCTTTGCATCTGAGATCCCTGCTGGAAACCACAGCACCCTGTATCCACTATTAGGAGGCTATGTTAGGAGGGAAAAATCAATAAAATGGCCCATTCATTTGTGTTGTAGCTCATCTCAGATGTATTTCTTGGATGGCATGCGCGTAACCCCCGGGGTCTTCAGTTAAGCCACATGTAGAGCAAGTCAGAGTCTTGAGTGAAGCTGACTAGGGCAAGACAAACAGCAGCTCAGTCTACATAATCCCAGCCGCTTTTGGCCTCAGTGATAGAGAAATCGGAGATAGTGGGGATTGTGGCAAATTGAAGTGTTCCCACCACGTCTAAAGGAAGCTTAGGTACTCAACTCTGGCTCACCCCTGCTGCGCAGAAATGTGCGTTCACTTTTCTAGAGAAGCCAGAAAAAGATTTCTATGAAATTTTCCCAATTTTAAACATTAGCCACAAATGCAGTGTTTTAAAAATAACTACACACTTTGGCCAAACAAAATGCCTATGTCGGCCGGGTGAGGCTTAAAGGTTGCCGGCTTGCCTGAGAGATCCAGAGGAAGTCACAGCATTTTAACAGCATGAACTTAATCCTTGCAGGAAGTCATTAAGTGATATTGAAGGAGGGGATGCAGCCATGCATCCAACATTTATTGAGTGCCGCATAGGACAGGCATGGGTATGTGAGGATGAGTAGAGTAGACAGCACTCTACAGCAAGCTGGAAGAGGCCGGGGGCTCCATCTGCCTTGTTCTTTGTACCCCAGTGCTTGGCACGTGGTGGGCATTCAGTAAGGAATGAATGAACGCATGCACACAGGAACGAATAGATGGGCACACAGTGCGTGTCCTCACAGCACATGACCCATCACTGGGTAGAAAGCAAGTCAGTAAGTAGACAGGGGTAATGCAGTGAGCCCAGGGCCTCCAGGTGGAGGAACATGGGCCACAGGAGCACAGAGTTCTCATCCCACCGGAGAGCTTGGGGAGCTTTCTGGATATGATGCGTGAGCAGAGTCCAAAAGGACGAAGCATGGAGAGAGGGAAAACAAGGCGGAAGTTCCTGTTAAGTGCCATTACCACCGCAGAGGGTCAGCTTGGGGGACTCCCTGGCTCTTGGGGGCCAACCGCAGAGCTGCACTGTTCCCACCTATCAGTTAGCTTGGTGTTGGCACCGTGGGAGGAAAGTGAACAGTGCTGAAGATCTGGGACAGATGTGGTATTAATACAGAATCCTTTTCTTGGAGTGTTTTCCAACTCTTATTCCAAGTGGACTCCCAGAAACATTCCTTTTGAATGTTAATGGGGTTTTTATTGACGGGGTGTAAAGGTTAAGAGCTTGTGAAAGATACGATTAAGTGTCAATACACTCCATCC